CGACGAACTAACTAACTAACTACTAGTATAGTAACTACTACTAACTAATTTAGTTATTATTATTTTAGTTTTTTGTTTTTGTTTGTTGTCGTCGACGTTAGTTAGTTAGTTCTACCTATATATATATATATATATATATATATATATGTATATATTATATTGACGTGATCAATGGTTCAATCATTAAAAAAAAACGGCTTTGTACACAAATTACGTACAATTCTATAGTCGAGAAAGATATATATTTTTAAACTTGAATAAAGGCTACAGGGACTCGACCGCTGACGCTTTCAATAGTAAAGCATACTGTACCTCTTGAAAATGTCCAACTATCCGGGACTCCAATGGCCACGAGCTGTGAGTTTGGGACTTTGGGCAGGCTGCGAGCTACGGAGTTCAGAAGTTCAGCACTCGAGAGTCGGGCCTTCACCAAAATATTTCCTCTGCATATACTAAAAATAAGTGAAGGAGTGGCATTTATTGGGAGTTTTGAGACCATTGAAAGTATTGGCGGTTGAATGTTTGAAATTTTGACAGTAACAACTCTGATGCTAAGAATGGAATTGCTTTAGTTTTGTTTTTCTGAAGGTCCAATAGACGTTTGGTGCTAATCTTCATACGAAAAGACTGCTCTACAGTATCGACGTTTGATATGATGAAAGTTAAACGGAAAATATGATATGAAGTACAACTGTCAACACTTCCTCAAAGACTCAGAGTTACATTGACGGTATACTTTTCCGTGGAGCCGTTGGCTATTGACTCTTGCTCTCGTGGACTCTCTCGTGGGACATGGACGGTGGACTGGGGTGAACTGTGGTGACGTGGTCCCTTCTGAGAGTGGGACATTCTGATGGGACGGACAGTCGTACACTCAGTGGAATTACTCCTAAGCACAAGAAGAAAGCGAATAATTTTGATACAAATCTGCCCAGAAACTTCGAAATTCGAACGATAAAGAAACCACAATAAATACCCAATATGGCAATAATCTTCCAGAATTTTTTTTTCAACTACATACTATGTAAATATGTATATACATTTTAGACAAAGAGTTACGAGACGCTCAGAGTCGCAATAATTATGATTTATAGACATCCAACCCTATACTTATATAGAACATATAACCTTCAAACATTCGCTCAATTTTTTTGAACAAGCGTTTTGAACCAAGAGGGTTTTGTGAATGAACAGCAATATGTCGCGGGCCAAAAAAGGATTACATAATAGTAACATATCCGATACTCGTAAAGAAGGATTACATAATACATTGCCCTACGCACGGTTGTAAAAAATATTATGAACAATTAAAGTTCTAATGACTGAGAAAGAAATATGTGAATAACAAAATATTTATCGCTGCGAGAGTCATAACTCGAGACTCGAGAGTCGAGTCAGTCGACTCAGTTGATGTCTGTTTTTTTTTTAATGTTACGTATGTTTCTCTCTCTCTGAGACGAGTCTGAGTCTGTAGCGACATGTCCCCAAAACAAACGGGTAAACGACCGTCATGACATGTCTTATATTTACTATGTCAGGTCTGTAGTAGACGACATTGGTCGTCTACTAAATATATACTTTATCAGGTGGGTGTCCATACTAGCCCACCCTTCTGACTGGCCCAAGTCTCTAGTAGGAATGATTTTTTTAGTTGTACAGTACATAAATTTTTGGGACTATTGAGTCAGAAGAAACTTATAGATAGCGACCCCGATGTCGCGATATGTCGCCATAACAAACACAGGTAAATAAACAACAGTCACGAAGTGTCTCCATAGTCAAAAAAGTAAATACCTGTCGTTTACCAGCCAAGTAATTAAAAAAAGGTCAAACTTCGAGTTTTCAGCCCGCTAGCACGCTACGCCGCTCTAGTTACTCTCGTTACTAGAGAGTAGAGGTCCGCTACGCCGCTACGCCGCTACGCCGCAGCTATGATAAATTGATAGTGCATTAAGTAAAGTTTTAGAGAAAAACAAAATATGAAAGGCTCGTTGCTCTTTATGTGCTTCTGAGAGTAGAAGAGTCAATACTCAAGAGACAGACTATATACTCAATACTGTTGGACATTAATTTAAAAACTTAAAAAAGTATGTATCTCATGTTTTTATACCAAAAAAGCTACTCCAAACAGTTAGTGACATAGAGCTAATATTTTTATTAGAAAATCCAAACACATGTAATGTAATATAAGGTTGTAGAATTATAGATACAGATTGTAGAACTGTAGACTTGCTGATGCATTTTTTTTAGAATAGGATTTGTCCCCAAAACGCCAAGCGGACTCAGTCCTGTGTCGGACCTGTATCAGACTACATGTCAGTGTATCCTACTCAAAACAATTGGAGCTGGTAAGTGGCAGGCCTGGCACAAGTAATAGGGGCGAGTTAGTATTTTAGTAATTATATCCTGTCAATGTATACTATATACTCCTGGGGCAAGTAGCCTTACAGTCTTGCACCCTTTTCCCTCAGTCTTGCACACTGCAGTCTTTCACCCGAGGTATAAGACTGCAAGTGATACAGCCTGTACTACTGTAGTGGGCTACATTCTACAAGTTGCAATACTGTATTACTTGCGGTACACTGAATATTGCTCGAATACTAATATTTCTTTATTTTTCAAATTCTCTGTTCTTTCTTCCCACTTGTTGTTGTGCGTGTTGATGAGTGTTGAGTGTTATTATTGAGTTGTGGACTGTTGAAGTGTTGAGATTTGAGAACTTGAGACTTGAGAGTTGAGTGTTGCACTGTTGACAGACTGACACTCTGACACTCTGACATTGTTGACTGTTCAGTGAGAGTCTGTTGGTGGAGCACTGGAGCCCAATGCGCAACATGGGAGTAAAGATGTGATGTCTGCTACAACTAAAAAAGCCTACGCCTAGTCGCCCACACGTGGGCGACAGACTTTGACTCCTATGAGTCTTTGACGCCCACTTGCTCTTTAAAAATAATAGATACATAGCATGTGTACAGTAAAAGACTTCAGAGTTTTTGTAGACAGACATTATCTATTTTTTTAACAAAATAGTGGTGGACAAACAAATGAACCGATATTCAACTTTAACGTTTACTTTTTGATGAATGTCTTTATACGGCACTAGTGACAATAAAATTATTAACCACCTCAGGCCCAGTTTCCTGTTAGTCTCATACTTCTTTTTCGAGTTTAATTTGCTTAAATTTAGGTGTATTAATGTAATTAGCGTGATATTAAGCACTTGTGAAATGTTTGTTTTATGTCGGATTGTTTGTTATCTGTCGGACTGAAAGCGCTCGACTTAAATGTTAGATATTGTAGCGCGGATACAACCCTTTTGTTGCACTTATGTCAGGTCCTTTTAGGTCTTAAGGGCTTGACATATGTTAGCAGTTCGACACATGCTTATAGGCGTCCTCTGTCTTAGCTATTGCTTCGGATTCGCCCATGGTTTAACAGTTGACACTATTCGTGTCTGACATACGTCGACCTCTCCAGCAAAGTAAACTCGAAAAAGTATGTATGAGACTGGTAGGAAACTGGGCCTGAGGTGGTTAATAATTTATTATCACCAGTGTCGTATAAAGATATTCCCGTTTTGTCACTAATGTTTCCTTTTTTTTAATATGGACATGAAATAAATTTATTTTGGGTTGAAAAATCATTTAGCAGGTAGTTGTTCCTATACTGGTTAAGACTTAGGACAATTTTTTTAGGGTTTAGGCTGAAAACGGTATGTATGCTACAGTGCCCTCGCAGGCACTGGCAAGCACACGACCTTCAAAACACAAAAAAGCCGGAGGCCTGGACACCTGGTTAATACTGGAAAAAGAATTAATAATAAAAATATACGCCCCCTTCTGGCAATCTGGCCTTCTGTCATTTGTTTTTGTTGTTTTTGTTCGTTTTGCTTTAAAAAAAAACAACAACATTTTTTATTAATTCGTATTATGTTTTAAAAAACTCATAAAATATCTAAATATCTGGCAATGTCAATTGAATTGCTTTAGAATTTAAAAAAAGAATGTTATTTCAAAAAGGACAATTTCTCGAGACACTGACTCTCATTATATAGATAAATCTATTCTTTTCAAAACAATTATTAAAGTGCTTGAGGGCTTAGGATTTTAGTGTTATAGATATAAATATATATATTTATACATGCACTATGCACATATATATGTATTGTTTAAAAAAAACAAACAAAACCATAGAAGAAAACAAACATGGCACAGCATATTTAAAATTGCTCTCTGCAGTCTGCAATTCTGCATTGTTAATTGTTGAAAAATTGATCATCAATTTTTAATATAGACAAAATGTTGGTTCGTTACATCGCGTTTCAAAAGATCTGTATCAGATTTTTTTTGGGTTTTGTTATAAAAACATAGTACAATCGTATTATTTAATATTTAAAAAATAATAAAATATATTTTAGTTATATGTAGTTTGCTGCATTGCTACAGTTGACCTGATGAGAATTTAACTCTAAAATTAGCAGTTTTTATCTATGTATTTATCTCCCGACCACATGTAAGCCGAAGGTCTCATGAGCAGTTGCCAAAAAGAAGAGGCGACTAGGCCGCTGGGGCTCTCCGGAGTCAGGACTCTGGGGAACGGAAGGCCGAACTTAACCGAAGTGTATGTATTTATCGTAAGTTTATTTTTTATTTTTTAAACATCGTAAATAGTGGTAACTAGTACATAGTAAATATATATTTAAAAAAATATTACAATATATTCAATATATATATATAATATAATATATATATATATTCAATATATATATATAATAATATATATATATATATTCAATATATATATATAATATAATATATATATATATTCAATGTATAT